TCAGTGTTCTTGCAAACGTGGTTGAGAACACACACACACCTGGAAGTGAACAACTAATATCCCTTTTTTTATATCTGAAGTGTACAAGACTTAAGAAAGTGCCTGGTAGAAGAAAACACAGCAAATATGAAGTTACCCATTGAGAGCATCGTTTCCAAAGTGATGTTTTGGAAAGGCGAGGTACGTGTATATTCCGATGTTGGAATGCGTTGTCTGAAGAAAAAAAAAAAAAAAGAATGTTATAATTGCAAGTTCTCTCCGTTCGCCCTTGTTCTATTTCCTTACTGGAATGTGTGACGCAACGTATACTTGAGAGACAGAAGTTCCGACGCGTGATATATATTTATTTCTCCCATTCTTTAAAACATGATTGTCCAGAATCGCAACAACTGTAAAGAGATGCCACATTATTACTTTTTTTCTCTCGCCAAATACCATGCCAAGTGATCGCCGATTCCACACTTTGAAAAAACAACAACAAAGACCTCATTTTTCTTCCATTTCCCCCCCCAACAGGGCACTATCAACCCAGGCTTCGAGGGCGACGAAAAGAAATCGAAGGATGAGGGCAAAGTGGAGGTCGAGATGGCAGCTAACACGGAGGTGAGCGAGCTTTTTCCTCCTTGACCTTACTCTTCACCTCTCCCCCCCCCTCCTTCCCCCTTTGGTTCCCCTCCCCCCCTCCTCTACCCCCTTTGATACCCGGTCCTTTTAACCCCAAAGCCTTCTCCTCCTTTTTCCTTTTCTCTTATTTATTTTCTTATTTTCTTTACTCTTCTGCTTCGTTTCCTTTTTCTTTCTTTTTTCCTCTTCGTCTCCTTCTCTTTCACTTTCTTTCTCTTTCTCCTTCTTCTTCTTCCCCTCCTCCTCCTCCTCCTCCTCCTTATTTAATAAATTCACTCTCCTTCTTACCTCGTTCTTTCAGAGATTATTTTCTTCTCTTCTCACTCACTCCTCCTTTTTCTTCGTCCCCTATTTTACCCCTCTTATCCATTCTCTCTATTCCTGTTTCTCATTCCTCTCCCCCATTTTTATCAAGTACTTATAATCTATTTTCTCTCCTTTTCTTCTTCTTCTTCATCTCCCTTTATTCCTCTCCTCAAGGTCCCCCCTTCTTCCTGTTTCTCTCCGTCCTCTCTTCTCTTTTTTCTACTCTCACTCTCTCCTCTCACCTCCTCACCTTTTCTCATCTGTTCATTTGCTTGTTTGCCTTGTCCTCATAAACTGAATTGTTGTTTTATATAATGACAAGGACGTTATTGACACTTTTTATTTTATTATTATATTTTTTTTTGCCTGTTTTCTCACGTAGCAATTGAAACTCCGTGGTTTCATGACATAAAAGTTCTTTTTTGTCTGTTTTCTTACGTGGTAAAATGAATTTGTTTTACTTCCAAGAAAGTTTTTATTATCTGTTTTCTCTGTGGTCTGTTTACTTATAAGAAAGTCTCTGTTTGTTTCCAAATGATAAACTCAGTGTCTATTTGCTTATAGATTTACCTTTAAGATTCGCAATGTCTTCTCATAAACTCTATATAAACAACAAACGCTTCGCTTTTGTCTAGGCTTCCGAAGAACCCTCGAGGGACCAGTGGTCGAACCCCATCGAGTTCCTTCTGTCATGCATCGCCATGTCGGTCGGCCTCGGAAATGTGTGGCGGTTCCCCTTCGTGGCCTTGGAGAACGGCGGGGGTGCGTTCCTCATCCCGTACATCCTCGTCCTTTTGTTCATCGGCAAACCCCTCTATTACATGGAGCTTTGTCTCGGCCAGTTCGCCTCGTCGGGATCGGTGAGGGTGTGGGACCTCGCGCCAGCTTTCCGAGGTGAGTCACTGGCGGATTCTGGTCGCTTTTTAAGAGTCTCATGTATTCTTTTGCATGCGAAGCCGTTTTTCCGTATCGGCTGCTGTGTTTATGTTAATTTTTGTAATGTGTTCTCTGATAACTAACGATGTGTCTTTCTTTTTTGGTTACAGGCGTTGGATATGGACAAGCTGTTGCTACGTGGGCTGTTGTGACATATTACGTGTCTCTGATGGCCCTCACCGTCTTCTACTTCTTCGGGTCCTTCTCCAGCGTGTTGCCGTGGTCGGTGTGTCCCCAAGACGTCAGCGTCACCTGCGTCTCCAAGGACGATAATGTCACTGCTCTTGGAGTCAGTGCTTCGAGTATCGTGTCCTCCGCGGATGTATATTTCAAGTAAGTTGCTGCTTATGTAATCCGACTTGCATACATTTTTGATACCGTAAGAACATGAGTTGATATCACTGAAAAGAAGGAAAGAAAGATAAACATCTTGTCTCATGTCGGTTCTCTTCTGACCCACAGGAACGAAGTCTTGCAGTCCGACCCCGAAGGCCTCGCCAACGGCATCGACGCCCCCGAATGGCGTCTCTCCCTCTGCCTCCTGTTCTCCTGGGTCGTCCTCTTCGTCATCCTGGCAAAGGGCGTACAAGGCTCGGGAAAGGCGGCTTACTTCACAGCCCTCTTCCCCTACCTC